TATATAAAAAAAAAAAAAAAAAAAAAAATAAAAAAAAAAATAAATATATATATATATATATATATATATATATATATATATATATATATATATATATATATATATATATATATATATATATATATATATATATATATATATATATATATATATATATATATATATATATATATATATTCAAACTTTGGCCAACAAAATCGGGATTAATTTTTTTTAGAATTTATAATGAATAGATTGTTCAACAAAAATTAAAATTTCGTCCCAATTTCAACTTTTGTGTAGTGCAATTATGATGGCTTAGGGCCAGGGCCGGTCCTATGAATTTGGGGGTCCTAAGCAAGATTGAAAAAATGGGCCTTTTGTAGTTTCAATTTTAGTAAGTTTTTTTTTCCTGCCGAACATTAAGATCAACGTAGCTGCCATCGTTAATTTTATTTTGCAAGTTTTTATTAAACTACCAAAACAAAGATAAGATACTACTAACAAATTACATTATCCCTAAAAAATTACATTTAGTGAAAAAATAAATGTAGGCCGGGAGTAATTTCAGCAAGCAAAAAAAAATGTAATAAAAATAAATACATTAATGAGGGAGGATAAAACTCATAAACATTCAATAAAACATATCACTTAAATATTACCCTTCTAGCATTTTTTTGAAGCAAAATCACTAAGAGAGAGCAAGTACTAGGAGGCATTTGCAATTTTCAGAAACTGCATGGCAAGAGAGGGATATTTTCAGATATTACATCTTGACCCCCGTTTTTTGGGTGTTTTCCGTCAAAAACTAGGCTGTGGGTGGAGGATAATATTCAACTTAGTTACTTTGATAATTGCATTTTATGCCCCCCATCTTGGGCCTTTTTTATAATAGTCTAGGTAGACTAGATAATGATTTTTTATTTCCACTGTAGGGGTACTCTTTTTTCCTTGTGTTAGGCCCACAAGGTTTTAACGAGACCCCCAGCATATTTTAAATGGAATAATAAAATCTTTTGGCCAAAAAAACAAAAATAACACCCGAATATCGATCAATTCCAAAGATTTTTAGCCTAGGAAAAAGGACAAAAAATATATAATAAAAATCTACACTTGTAAATAAGAGCCCAAATCTAATTTCCTAAAACTTTGATGCAAGACAAATCACACTGCAGGCTGGGAATTGAAATTAATTTACGAAAGACATACCTTTTAATTTTGGGGAAGGGATAAAAAAATATTACAGTGAGTAGGATAGAGAAATTTTTTAATTTCAGTAAAAGTGTTTTGTGCGTTTCATTCTACTAGGGATTCATTCATTATTTATGTTTTGTTTTTTACTTTTCTTTAAGCCTTAAGGGCCCATCAAAATTATAAAAAAATTTATTTAAGTTGGAGGTGGGTGTTGGGTGGCGTGAACTACCAGATAAAGCACATAGTTGTTTTTATTTTTCATGTAAATTACATATACTATATATATAACAATTTTTTTATTTTTTTTTGGGCTCTTTTGGAATTGGGGGCCCAAAGCCTTGGCTTCCCATAAGGGCCGGCCCTGCTTAGGGCATCTCCTTGGAATGGGGAGGTGTGGGGGAGGGCTGAGATGTTTAGTGAGTAGGGGATGGGGTTGGGATGGGGGGTTGGGGTGGCTGGGGTGGCTGGGAGGGGTGAATTGAGTCCAGGCATAAGCCATCGCCTCTCACTCTCCTCTCTCACGTGAACGTCACGCATCAGTTTTTTTTTTTCCTTCTCTTTACACGTTAGCATTTTTTTTATTTTTTTTTCTTTTGTTTCTTTGTATCTTTTCTTTATTTATTTTAGTTCTTTTTTTTTCTTTTTTGTTTCTTTCCTTTTTCTTTATTTATTTTTATTTTATTATTAATTTCTTTTATTTTACTTTAGTTTTGTCCTTTTTTTTCTCTAATTCGATCTTTTTAATTTAAAATATTAATTTTTGTGTAAATATTCTATTAATTATATTAACATTACGTGTTATTATTATTATTAATATTATTATTAATATTAATATTATTATTATTATTATTATTATTATTATTATTATTATTTGGTGAGAATGGTGATGGAAAAAATTGGAAGAAAGAGATTGATCGGCAGGACGAGAAATCAGTTGGGGTCGGGGGATGGGGAGCCAGGGAGGAGCTGCCCATCGACAGGAGATGCTCTTAGGTGCGTATGGCGGTATGGGATGAAAGATATTTTATGTGGATCTATATAAAATTAAATTATTGGACCAATGTTTAATTGGGTTTTAGCATCTTGTTAGCCCATTTAACAAAATAAAGAATATTTTATGTGGATCTAATAAAATAAAATTATTGGACCAATGTTTAATTGGGTTTGGGCCTCTTTTTAACCTTTTAACATAAAAAAAAAATTAAAAAAAATATGGAGTTGAAAACTGCGCCGAAGGGAAGTCGAACCACCAAAACTGAACAACCTCTGACTGTAACACAGCCAGTTAAGCTATAAAAATTAATTGCTTAAATATCTTTATTATAAATTATATATTACATGTTAATAATCGGAGGCTCCAAAACGAAGGCCCAAGAAGGTGGGCCTCCTTGGGCTTGGGTCGGGCCTGCTAATATTACAATGCATTATCAATATTTGGACAACATTTAACCCATCAAATCTCGTCTCAAATTATTTTCCAGCTACGCAATTATTAATATAATTTTGGCCTATATATATATATACATATATATTAACATTAGACGTCTATTTTCAATAATTTCAAAAGAATTAACAAATTCAGTAATTTGTATATATGTAGTAGCTTAATTTTGAAATTATTAATATAATTTTGGCCTATACATATATTATTATTAGACGTCTGTTTTCAATAATTTCAAAAGAATTAACAAATTCGGTAATTTGTATATATGTAGTAGCTTGATTTTGAAATTTGTTTTCAATAATGTAGCAGTACATTTATCAATTATTTTCCAGCTACGCAAATTAATAATATAATCTGGCGTTTATATATATTTAGTAGCTTGGTTTTTTAATTTGTTTTCAATTAATTTCAAAAAAGTTAACAAAATTGTTAATTATTGATAGGCAGTTAGGCACTAGTGTAGTAGTACATTTTATGAAATTATTTTCCAACAAATATAAAATTGGCGTTTATGTGTATATAGTAGCTTGGTTTTGACATCTGTATTCAATAATTAATTTTAAAACAAAATTGGTAAATTAATTCATTAATAATCACTAGGTGAGCAGTACATTTTACCAATTATTTTCCAACTATAGGCAATTAATAATATAATTTGGCGTTTATATATATATGTAATATGTAGTAGCTTGGTTTTCACATAATAATTTTCAAAAAAGTTAACAAAACTGTGAATTCATCAATAATCACTAATATTATATATATGCATGTAGGATCCAGATGAAACATAAACCCAAATTACTTCCACAGAGCAAAAAAAGTAAAAGAAAAGAAAAGAAAAGAAAAGATGATGATCAAAACCACAATCGCAATCCTTCTCTTGGCGGCGGCGGTGGTTAGCCAACTGCCAACTGGTATACCGGCGGCGGACATATCACGACGACCGCCGCCGGAGAATGGGCCACTCTTCGCCAGGTGGCTGGTTGGAGAGTGCCGGTGGGGCGTCCTCAATACGCTGGACCGCCAAAACGGGTTTCCGTTTGGCAATGTGGTCTCGTATACCGACGCCGCCACCGGAGTACCATATTTCTACCTATCGAAAACGTTCGATCCCACCGGACCGAACGCACTCAGCAACAACCGCTCCTCCTTCACCCTCAGTGAAGCGGAGCTGGGTACCTGCAGCGTGGACCCCCAATCCCCCCTTTGCGCCAAAATCACACTATCCGGCCAGGTCATCATTCATCAACTCTACTCTCTCTCTCTCTCTCTCTCCTCTTTTAATCATCAATGATTTATTTACTATTTTATAAATAATTTTGTATTGATTTTATAATTTTCAGCTTTACTTGCTTCCGGAGAACTCAAGCGAAGCTAAATCTGCTGAGAGGGAGTTGTTCAGAACGCACCCCATGTTGGCAGGTAAAATCTCTTAATTTTCATGTTTAATTTTTATATTATATATATTTTTTGCCACCTTTTACTTTTATTAAATATTAATGATTTTTTTTTTTTTAATTTTTGTTTGTTATAAAATGTTGGTGCTGCAGGGTGGCCGAAGACTAAAGGCAACTTTGGTGCCTTTAAATTAGTAGTAGGGGAGATATTTTTAGTCAATATGTTCGACGCTTTCAAAAAGGTTTCTGTATTCGACTATTTTAACGTTACCTTTTGAAATGCGTAATAATGTAAAAGAATAATATAAAAATGGCAGCAGCTTTTTTTAATTTTTCTGTTTTTTCCACTATTCGGTAGTTATTAAGTTTAATTGATCAAACATTAGTTTCTATTTAATGAATAAATAAACAATTCAATATAAAAATATTAAATTAATTACGGAACAAGTGAAAATATAAAAATAAAAAAATTGTACAGCAGGATGTGGCTAAACGACAGCGTCTTAATAGATTCTTCGGAATATCCAAATTTGCCTCGAAAAATGAAAAAAAAAAAACTTTACTAATAAATATAGAGCTAATATAGCACAGACCCCCCTGTGTTATTTTTAATTGTTAAAAAAGTCCTTGGAATAAAATAATTAACAAATACCCCCTTATATTTTATTTTATATTTCACGATAAGCTGCTTTTTAGGGGCTTTTTCAGCTTTAACTACATTACATAGGGGTGCCCTTGCCAATTATTTTAATACGGGGGGTTTATAGGCAATTAGAGATTACACTGCAAAAAAAACCAAATAAATATATCACACTCTTCTCGACTTCTCCAAACCTCACCCAAATCCCCACTTGATTTTCAGATCTCGTACTCAGTACTCAGTAATGGCAAAAGAACCAGTTCGCGTTCTAGTCACCGGCGCCGCCGGTACATCTCCACTCTCTCTTTCTTATAGCTCGCCGTGAATTTCTGGATCTGTTTCTTTTTTGCGTTTGTGCTTTTTCTGTATTATTACTATGATTGTCGGAGCAATTTTTTTCATTTGATTTAACTTACTGGATCTTCGTTCTATCGATTTGACTTTAGAACTGCTTGTAATCAGTGTTCGAAACGACTTCGTGATTGAACCAGACAGTAATTACTCCGACTGGAAAAAAATGTTTATTTTATTTTATTTTATATAATTTCGGAATAAGGACGATGAGATTCATCTAGTGCCTAGTGGTATTGATTTGAATCGTCGGAGGAATCATCTAGCTAGTTAACTAATTTCTCACTCAATATTGTGTTTATGCTTGTTGGAATTTGTTCGAGTTTCGATTCGGAACAAGACAATTTGGATTAAGTCGATAAACATTGATATTCGTAAATGCTGTTTGTGCTGTGGCTATTACTCTGTTTTCCGTCGAAAATAAAACTGATTCATATCTGTGCTAATTGGATTTAGTCCGGTTGGCGGTTACTGAGCAGTCGTTTGTTTTACAGGACAAATCGGATATGCTCTAGTTCCCATGATTGCAAGGGGAGTTATGTTGGGAGCTGACCAGCCAGTGATCCTCCACATGCTCGATATTCCACCAGCTGCCGAGGCACTTAACGGTGTTAAAATGGAATTGGTGGATGCAGCATTTCCTCTTCTTAAAGGTTGTAATCTCCGCTTCCTTTCTTTTATCGAATGCAAATTTCCCAATTTTATTTTCATTCTCGATGATTTTTTTGCCTTATCCGATTCTTGTTGATTTGATATATGCCCGTTGTGGTGTTTTAATTCAGGTGTTGTAGCTACAACCGATGTCGTTGAAGCTTGCACTGGTGTCAATGTTGCTGTTATGGTTGGTGGTTTTCCGAGGAAAGAGGGTATGGAGAGAAAAGATGTCATGTCGAAGAATGTTTCGATATACAAGTCTCAAGCTTCTGCTCTCGAGAAACACGCTGCAGCTAACTGCAAGGTGGTTATTTATTTCATTAAATTTTATGAATATTATGTATTGGTATATATATATATATATATATATATATATATATATATATATATATATATATATATATATATATATATATATATATATATATATATATATATATATATATACATATATCTAGATATATTCTTTAGCCTTTGACTTGCAGGTTTTGGTTGTTGCTAATCCAGCCAACACCAATGCATTGATTCTGAAAGAATTCGCGCCATCAATCCCGGAGAAAAACATCTCTTGTTTGACTAGATTGGACCACAATAGGGCTCTTGGACAAGTCTCGGAGAGATTGAATGTTCAAGTTTCGGATGTTAAAAATGTGATTATATGGGGAAATCACTCGTCAACGCAGTACCCTGATGTCAACCATGCATCAGTCAAAACTTCAGCCGGAGAGAAGCCCGTACGCGAGCTCGTCTCTGATGATGCATGGTATACGAAATTCGATTGAACATTATCGTGTCATAGTTGACAAGACTGTATTTCAATAAAAAAAAAATTGTTTCTTGCATTAATTTGAGATTTTTTTAGGTTGAACGGCGAGTTCATAACTACCGTCCAGCAGCGTGGTGCTGCTATAATCAAGGCTAGAAAGTTCTCTAGTGCACTTTCTGCTGCTAGTTCTGCATGTGATCATATTCGTGACTGGGTTTTAGGAACTCCCGAGGGTACTTGGGTTTCCATGGGTGTATATTCTGATGGCTCGTACGATGTCCCGTCCGGGCTCATTTATTCGTTTCCCGTTACTTGCAAGAACGGAGAATGGTCTATCGTACAAGGTGAGTACCACATAACTAGAAAATAAACGAAATGTATACAAGATTGATTATTTGTGTTTGTGAAATTCTATAAATCGATGAATTCTACTGTTTTGTAGGTCTTCCAATTGACGAGCTTTCGAGGAAGAAGTTGGATCTGACTGCCCAAGAGCTCAGTGAGGAGAAAGCTCTTGCGTATTCCTGCCTTTCTTGATTTTCTTTCATCGGCAAATATGCATTTTTCCCGTGTGTGGCGATAGATTTAATTGCGAATTTCAATGATGCCAATGTTAATTATTGTTCAATGACCGATGAACTTTGCTTGGAACTGTAATATCTTTGATTTTTACAACACTTGCTAATCATGTATGTGGTGAGATTGTCTGTACCACTTCAATAATAAAATTTGTAGTTCTACTCTTCTAGATTCTATGATTGATGCTATTTTCAACTGTGGATTATTTTAATTGAAAATTAATACTAAATATTGCAATTTTGGGTAATGGATGAACCTGCAACTAATTATATAGGTGCCGTGGGTAAATTTACATTCTCGTATAACAACTTGCAAACCATACGAGAGATATGATCTGGCGACCGATGGCAAGTGGATTCGAATTTGGGTCGATTGTCTCCAGCTCTCTTGTAATGGACCTGACGACGAGATTGAAAGTTGAAAATGTGATTTTTTTTTGTTTCTTTGCACAAATTGTAGATTTGGGCCACTCTTGCACGGGCCATTAGAAATTTTTGGCCCATTGGGCTTGATAAATGTAAATTAAACTTTTTAATCGGATTTACTTTATGGCCCAATCCTGAAATCAATATATAAAAATAAATAATTTTTTAATTCAGTAAATACTTCAATTTAAATTAAACCCTCATATCATATATAATATCTACGTGTATACACATATATGAACTGAATCGAGGTTGTCACATTCAACTTTATTGTGAGTGTCTTCTGCTTTGTCAATATTATTCTCACAAACATGTGCACTGTCAATATCAAAAACAAACAAAATGAAAAATCCATTTTCTGCATGAACCCTTTGCTTCCTTCAAAAGACATTGAATTCCTGCCTCAAATAAGTTCCATACCAAATAGCGTGCGTGTGTGTGGTGGTGGCTGGGTGGGAGGT